ATAGTTCTCAACAGTAAAGATGCGACACTCATGTGTGCTTGATGGTAGTTTTTGGTGCGCTGGCTAGCAAGAGGTTTTTATTATACAATGAGTAAGCTGATAAACTTGATTGTCAATACAGTGGTGAGCAAGAGAACCAGCACAGGCCGATCTAAGACCCCGGGAGTTCAAGGTCATCTTACTGATTTGAAGATGATGATTTCGGGGAAGCGTAAGTGTACCATTTGTTGAACCGTGTGCCAAGAATAGAGAAACCGGATATACGAAGACAAAAAACTAGGCGAGCTGAAGAACCAGAATCGAACCTAAACCTCAACCTGACTCCTGAATGAGGAAAAAGAGGTTTTATACAGTTATTCAACCCGCCCGGGGTGGTTTTTATCTCAGACTTCCTACTATACCCGTCGTACCAGCCGTGCTAACCATCTGGCGTCTACAGCAAAAAAAAACACACACAATGATACTAGCTGCTGTACAACGCCTTACATGCTTCACTGTCATACAAGGAGTGACCGTCTGTAGAATAAAGGGAGAGGGATCTACTATAAAAAAATAAGCATATGGTAATTTTGAGTAACTATTCAATGAAAGAGAAAGAAACAAAGATTATGACGTAACATTTTGTGACTCATATTTACATCAATCAATTATTTCAGATTTCTTTTCTAGCATGCAAAAACTATCTAATCAGAATGAACAAAATAAGAAAACTAAGTGCTTGCTTGATGAGACGATGACTAGAACCATACTGGCGATAGAAACAATACTGATAGTCAGCCTACGAACAACAGTGATAATTCTGTTTTTACTCACTCTAATCAGACAAGAGCTCAGCGTTCGCTTACTGAAACTATTCAAAATTATGACGATTTTAATTCTCCTGTCCAGGCTATATTTCCCAATGGCTCAGGTAGCATAACAATACAACCATACAGGGCGGATAGTGAGCAGTCCTTCTTGCTCTGGTTGCGTAAATTTGAAGAATACGTAGAGACAGGCGGCTGGTCCGATAAGTAGCGTGCTAGGAAATGAAACTTCTTCTGAAAGGTTTAGCTAAAGACCAATATAACTAGAGACCTTACTTACTGAAGTAAGAGACAACCAGCAAGCCACCGATGAGAAGCTTAAAACTATGTTTGAGTTTGCTGAAATGCATAACATCGCCTATCTGTGTTCAGGGGTCTAAAGAATCGGTTAATGTCTACAGAATATGATCCGATCGGGTACAGTAGGCCCAAGCAACGCTAGCTTCAACGGAATGCTATGAGACACCTACACTGATCGACTAAGCCCGAACATTGCTTACGATCGCGCATGTCGTCCTCTTTTAAACAGATCCACTTGCACACATTTCAAGTGAAAGGAGCGTTAGCTGCAAATGCAGCCAGGAGAATAGACGCTGCTTTGAACACGCTCTCTCAGTCTCCAGTCACCACGGCAGCAACCCAAGATGCACTTTACAGAGTTACGCAACAGCTGGGTCAGGGACTGAACCTCACTGACTATTCTCCTCCAGCACAGGTTGCACGAACTCCCATGGACGCACGCTCTCATCCAGTTGAATACCGCATTTATTAACGACCAGAAAGCAGTACAGCAAAACAGACACTATGAAACATATTGCGATATTCGCCCGTACTGCAACGACTGTCACAAGAGAGGGCACTCGGGGTACAACTTTTATAATCGCCATCCTCAAAGTTCCGCGAAGACTCAAAAGAGTCTGACCAATTACGCCTCTCTGTCGAAAAATAACCGAGGAAATCTTCGATCTCCCCGAAATCAATATGTTTTCAAATAACAACGTCCGCAAACGGAAAATAATAGGAACATGAATCTTTTCAAAGAATTAACCCCGGTTAACCCACCCATGATTTCCAGGGCAAATGTTGCCTTGGTCTGAATCATAATGTCTGTGATTACTCGCGTGAAACAAAACAAATTTCCTAGCTGGAAATTCATGATGACTTTTCACAGGCAACTAATTCCAGGAACTAACCTTCACACTATAGAAGCTTCCCTATTTAACACTCCTGATCATTTCTTAGCTGGAACTGCGGTAGGTCAACTGCACAGCTGAATTTACGAAAGGATCGCTCAAAGTAATGCTCACAAGCGTACCAGTGCTCGTTTCAGCTCTCTTACAAATTTACATACTGCTCAAGAAAGGGTGCAATATCCGCCTATCTGCACTCATAAAACCAGCCAGCCACATAAACTGCTCCCAATAATAGTTATAGTCGATACACTTACCCTCATTACCTCCCCACTTGACCCCTCACCTTGGACTGTCTTTCTCATCCATCATTTGCTTTATCGCTCCACTTCCAACACTCTTCTCCTGCGCAGAAAGTGCTACAGTGTTGCCTGGCTATCCTCTCCTACGCCACACGTCTGCTCTTCCCATGTACTGAACCCTCTCTCTGTTCAACCTTGAACAGCACAGCTGTTCAAACTCCTCATAATCTTTCCCTTACAATATATAGACCTGACTCTCTCAAGTATTCAACAAAAGAAATTCGGCAAGATGATTTACCGTAGCCCATGTAATTGTGGGGACCGTATGCAGTCCGGCGAACTGTTCCCGACCAAAAACTCCTTGAATTTTGATAATCCATACCCCGTAACTGGAAGCTTTTATGAAAGAAAAGTTGAGCAACTATCTGTTTCCTCCTGGAAACTTCCGTCTCTGTCTTTTCGGGCAATTTAGACTTATCTTCTCCTATTGGAAAAATGTGTGTTTACGAGGAAGAGAACTGCCATCCCTCCGATGATACTTTGTTACTGCGGACAGCAGACACAAAACAAATACGCAAAATTTATAAAATATTAGTGCTGAGATGAGGCAAATGCTTGATAATGTATGGTTAGCTGACAGTAAGAATTCTCTCTTTCCCTATTTCACGATTAGCAATAATTCAGTTCGCGACTGCTATCAAGATCCTCATTATCAGTGATCAAGCTTAAGCGGTAAAGGGTTCTGAATTAGTACTCAGTGTTCCAGTAGAGCGTAGCAATAGTGGTCCGCATGTTTTGGGTGGGTCTGTTACCACGAATCAGTTAGCCGCGCAGCTACAAGCATAAGAAACTGGGCTCAGACGTTCACTTACATTCTCCTTTTAGCATTCTTTATTAGCTATCTGCGATACTAGAACCAATTTGGTGAGTCAACTCGCATTTTCCTTAAGTCAAAATCCAACTGCCCTGGTACTAGAAGTTTGGCCATGTTTATCGTTATTTTCAGTTTATTGGTACTAATAATTGTCAATCTGTCCGGAATCTCTACTCATTAAACTTCTGTTGAAACAAAAGCAATTCTTGGGTTTTCCAGGCCGCTTTACTATGGCTATCTCTGGAACTACGCGCAGAACGTTATGCAGTATCGTTAAGGAGTTGCTTATACAAATTAATGACGAAATCTTTATTACTGAGTGGACAAATGGGCTTCGGAAACTCTTTCAACTTTCAGAAACTATCTCGTAGTCCGTTCCACACAGTGTCTGCCCCAACAATATCTGCCCCATCCCAGCAACTATCTTTCACCAGTTACTGACTGGTAACTTTTCAAAATCTTTTCCTTCACTTCACTTCCAAGCTGCGGCTCGTGTTGTCTTGAACAATAAATGCAGCAGTCTCCCACGCCTCATATGCATGCGAGCACCGCAGATAGCACCACGTCAGTTTTATTATCACTCCACTTTTCCCTCTTTACAGCCTGGGTTTGGAAGATTTGGATATCGATAGTATGTGCCATTGTTACATTTCCGTGCACGGTTTGGCCG